CTTTGTTGGCTGCTTCGGCTTGGCCATTGGTTTGGGGGTGTTCCACCGAGGTCGGAAGATGTTTGATACCGAGCTCGAGGAGGAAGTCCTCGAATCCCTATGCAATGAATTGTCAGCCATTGTTAGTAACGAGGGTGTGAGGGATTCCGAATCTGCAAATGATATTCCTCCAGGTGAATCTTTGCACGTTCTCCGTAGTGATTTTGGCGAGTGGGCATGCCTCGATCCACTTGGTGAAGTAATCGATCGCCACCAGGAGGAATTTCAGTTGACCTTTCGCAGGGGGGAATGGCCCGAGGATGTCCATCCCCCACTGGGAGAAAGGCCACGCCGACATCATATGGTGGAGAGCTTCAGGTGGTTGCTGGTGTGTGTTGCCGAACTGCTGGCACTCTTTGCATTTTTGGATGTAGTCTTGGCAATCCGACTTCAGAGTGGGCCAGTAGTACCCAGCTCGGAGTACTCTGGTCGCCATTGAGCGTGCTCCGGAGTGCATGCCACATATGCCCCGATGAATTTCTTCGATGACGTAGGCCGCCTGAGGCGCGGTCAAGCATTTTAGTAGTGGGGTAGAAACGCCACGTTTGAATAGCTCGTCCCCAATAATGACGAACTTAGCCGATCTCATCCTCATCTTCCGAGCTTCGTCCTTATCCTCGGGCAGGATTCCTTCTTTCAAGTAACCCCAGATGCCTGTCATCCATCCCAGGTCTTCATTTTCACTGACGTTGACGATTTTGTCGTCCAGGCTAGGTGAGTGTAAGGTCTCCTGGATGATAGTTCGATGTTGTCCAGGCCTTTTGGTGCTGGCGAGCTTTGATAGGAGGTCAGCTCGGGTGTTTTGTTCTCGCGGCACATGTTGTATGGTGAACTCGTCGAAGGACGAGATCTGGTGGGATGCGATGTGGAAGTACCGAAGAGTGTCCTTTGCCTGGTACGTCCCACTGAGTTGTTCCACCATGAGCTTCGAGTCGCTGTTGCAACTCACTCTTCGGGCTCCGAGGTCGCGGGCTAGCCGCAGTCCTGCGAGAAGTGCCTCATACTCCACCTGGTTGTTCGTCACCTTGAAGCTAAACTTGAGGGATTGCTCCAAAGTGACTTGGTTTGGCCCTTCCAAAATGATACCTGCACCACCACCTTTAGAGTTGGAGGACCCGTCAACGTGTAAAGTCCATACCTGGGGCTCCTCGGCGGTAGTAGGCGTGAGCTCGGCTACGAAGTCGGCCAAGCATTGAGCTTTCAAGGGTCCGCGACTTTCGTACTGGATGCCAAACTCCGACAATTCTACTAACCAGGCAATCATCCGTCCGAAGAGCTCGGGCTTTCGCAGAATTTGCTTGATAGGTTAGTCAGTTTTGACTACCACCTGGTGACTCTGGAAGTAGGGTCGGAGACGCCGGGCTGCGGTGACAAGTGCAAGTGCCAGTTTCTCGATCATTTGGTACCTCTTTTCCGCGTCTTGGAGGACTCGGCTGATGAAGTAGATCAGTGTCTGCACTTTCTGGTGCTCTTGTACTATTACTACGCTGATAGCGCTTTCTGCCACGAGCAAGTAGAGGAGGAGGTCGGTTTTGTGATCGGCAGAGTCGTGAGGAAGGTTTTGAAGCTTCGGAAAGCTTCTTCGCATTGATCCGTCCACTGAAAGTTTTGTGGCTTCCGTAGCAGAGTAAAGATCAGTCCTGCCTTTTCCGCAAGTCTGGGGATGAAACGGGACAGTGAGACCAACCGTCCGGCCAGGCGTTGGACCTCCTTCACCGTTTGTGGACTTTGCATCTGGATGATTGCTTTACACTTCTCGGGATTGGCCTCAATTCCTCTGCTGGTGATCATGAAACCGAGGAACTTGCCTCCTTGGACGCCGAAGACGCACTTCTCCGGATTGAGGCGCATGTTGTGCTTCCTAATCTGAGAAAACACCTCGGCAAGGTCGGTGACATGATTTGTTGCCGAGGTGGTCTTGACTACCATGTCCTCGACGTAGACCTCCATGTTTCGCCCGATCTGGTGGTGGAAAACCTTATCCATCAGCCGC